AAATAGAGTAAAACTAGCAGGATAATCAAGCATACTTCACCCCAAGTAATCACCACTTAATTCTTGTTTACACGGAATCCCCTCAACTAGATAATTACAATGAGCCCGTGCAACTGAAAGAAAGATTACCTGACAATTCAATCATCTGATCTAGTTCCTCCTTTGAGATTTTTAATTTCTCCTGACATGCGATGGACATCATTCTAGCCTAAAAGGAGTATGGTGAAATGCAGCTCTGAAGTTCTACCCATGAGCGAATTATTCATCAGCTTACTAATCAATGAACCGAGTATGACCCTCATACTACCTACTACTTGTACATAAAATGATGAAATCAGGGTCGGAAAATTCAAAAATTACCCTGATCTGTTCCACACGCGGTTTTTGGAAGCGTACATCGAAGCAATAATTCGCAAGACTCCTTATCTTCGGATGCTGCCGATCGTTACAGATACAAATTATAGGAATTTTTGATTCCTTGATGATTTGTATCAATTCAGCAATCTTAAATCAAAAGAATAACGAACAAAAGAAAACATTGAAAGCAATGCGGAAAAAATTCCAAACACGACCAACCCCTGCGCGATCCTCAGTTCCACTCATTCCATCAACCTCGTCCATTATCAGAACGTGTTTCACTTCGTCATCTAGAAAAGGAGAACCATGACTATGCCACAAGCCTTCATTGGAGAGAAACCCGTGTTAATGATATGATCCGAGCCTTTCCCCTTCTAAACTAATACACCCTTCCATCCAATTTGGAACACGAAACTACGCTCTACAAATTGAAAGCTCATGCAAACACAGACAGAGTTGGAAGTTTACCATTTCCGGACTCCCCGGTTGCGAAGTACTCCTCGATTCTGATGTGATTCTGTGAGCTGAGTGATCTAAAACAAGTATATAACAACGTAGATAAATTAACTGTAACACTTAGAAATGAAAAATAGGACGGTCAATACCTGCTGCTCGAGGTTCTTCTTGCTTCGTACATCCGATGCATTCATCTCCACTATCTTCATGCCAAGTGTTTCGCATGCCATTACTGCACAAGTTGTTTTGCCCACGCCTGAATAATTCCAAGTCAATATTGCTAAAATTGC